TACAACAAGTTTTGCCCGGCTCCGGTGAGGGATGGGCGATGACAGTGGCGTGCCTTCGGCTCGCTTCAGTGTTTGAAGTCGTATCTAGGTGGTCTAGGATCTGGATATAATTTTTATTATTTCTAGTGTTCGTTGTACTACCATGATTGAAAATGAATAGATCAGAAAGTTTCTTGCAAAAAAAGGTACTCTGCGAAGTCCCATATCCGCTCGGCAATAGGTTCTTGGCATACACCTTTTTTGCAAAGTGGGATTCACTGAGTGATTTATGTCAGGTACTCGGCAAAGACTTCACCGAGTTTTAGATGAACATACCCGGTAAAATAAAGTGGGTTGACAGCTATCAAACGGAGATGACGCTACACATGGCGGGCGCTTTGCAGAGTACATGTGTCATGATACTCGACAAAGGCTTTGCGGGAGCGTGCCACATGTTCTTTTAGCTCACTACCAGAAAAACAGGGTTTGCCGATGGCCAAATCTATGCCGACGGCGCCCGTCGGCATCGCCGCACCTATGCCGACGGCAAAGGATGGGCCGTAGGCGTAGAAAAGCCGTCGGCATACATTGATCTATGCCGACGGCGCCGTCGGCATAGACGTGGCCGTCGGGACCGCCCGAGATAAGCCTACGGCTCCCGTCGGCATAGGACAGGCCGTCGGCATATCCCGGGCCCAACTCCCTGGTCAGTGCTGACGCTTGACGGCGTTTATCCTACGCCGACGGGCGGTAACGGCGGCCGTCGGCATATCTGTGGCAGAGGTATGCCTACGGCGTAGCCGTCGGCATAGGCCCCTCTGCCACGTCAACGATCCGTATGACACACCACGTCATCGATCCGTGTGTGCACAGATATGCCGACGGCCCCGCCGTCGGCATATGTTTACTTTACTTAATTTTCTATATTATCTGTGGCAGAGGTATGCCTACGGCACGGCCGTCGGCATAGGCCCCTTCGCCACGTCATCGATCCGTGTGCCACGCCCCGTCATCGATCCGCGGGATAACCTGCGTGTGTGCACAGATATGCCGACGGCCTTGCCGTCGGCATACATATATTTTACTTTATTTTTTTATTTTTACTTTGTTCTGTTATTTTTACTTTATTTTAGTTTTTGTTTTTGCATAAGATAATTATGCCTTATCTAAAAAAACATTCCCGATGGTATATCGATTGCCGCCCCCCGTTACGAACGTCGCTATCGCCGTGTCACGGAGGGGGTAAACGGATGCGTGGGGTCTACACGGAGGGGATCTTTCTGTGGGTCTAGCCCGGATGTTGCTCCAAACTGTTTCTATGGGCTGACCTAACACAACCAGGTGGGGAGGTCCACTGGTCAAAGCCCGTCCGTGCAAAGTCAAAGGGCTAGATCGCGTGGTCAATCGCTACAAGGTTAGGCGGGACGGGGGCCCTGGGGGGAGGGGTAGCAATGCCACCGGAGCGTGGCACCGGGCCCTCATACATGCGGGGTGGTGTGGTGGCATGTCTGAAGAGGCGGCACGCGTGTCCGGGGTGTGCCCCCCCTCACGGACGGCGCCGCCGCCGGCACCTGGAGGGGGGAAACGGACGCGTGGGGTCTACACGGAGGGGATCTTGCTGTGGGTCTGGCCCGGATGTTGCTCCAGAGTGTTTGCGTGGGGGAGGGGGAGGGGGAGGCAGGCGAGGAGGAGGGTGGTGGCGGGGATGATGGTGGTGACGGGAAGGGGGTTGACACGAAGGGGTGGCTGCGTGGCAACGCAAAGCTACCAAAGCAGGTTCCTGCTACTGAGGAGCAGAAGTGGCTCATTGAGCCCACGGGAAAAGAGTAAGTGGTTCATTATGTTGCTTGTCACATGCTTATTCCGGTTGTTATTTATTTTTCTTGTCACATGCTAATAGTTCATCCTTTTGCAGCAACTGGATATATTCTAAACGGGTCCGTATTCCCAACGGCCTCATCACCGTCTTGCTGAAGTTATATTGGCCGGGGTTGTACTGTCCTGATCCAGTCAGGCAGCCGGACCGTCGGGTTTTGGCCACGAGCTGGGACCACTGGGAAGCGGCCCGCCACGCGGACCATGAGACCCATGCCAAGGCCGTGATCACTACTTTCTGGGTGAGTTCTCTTCAGAAGCACAAGTCCATTCTAGTTTCATGAATGATTTAACTCATGGCTTCTCCCATTCTTGTTTCATGCATGATTGTAGAAATTCTATCGAGTTCTTCCGGAGCACAGGGCTAGAGCGGACCAGATCGTGCTGCGCCAATGCAAGAAGAAGGCCCGCCAGATGCAGTACGAGGTGCGCTATGTGGCCATCTCCACATACTACCACGACTATCTTGGTGCGAAGATGACCAAGGAAGAAGCGCGGAGGATGGGCATTACCTTGGAGAGGCCCGAGTTCTTGGCGGTAAGTATAAAAGATTTTTCATTATGCTTTCATTACCTTGTGGTACATTATGCTTTATGCTTTATGCTTCCATAACACCAATTTGGACACACCTACATGCCATTATGCTTTTATTATGTAGGTGTGTCCAAATTGGTGTTATGGAAAAGACGAGTCCTGGGCGGCATTGGTGGATCTTTGGTGTGATGAGGCTGGAGCCTGGGCGGCTATGAGAACCCAAAATAAGGCTAACCGAGGGACGGAGGGAGTACATGCTCAGGGAAACCGAAACCACTATCTCCACAAGGCAGTTAATGTATGACTAACCCCATTAAACATTCTTCTTCTTCTATTTACCATCACTTTCTTATGTATGACTAACCTCTGTTTGGTGGTGCAGGAGGAGAAACTGAAGCGGCCGCTCTCACACATGCAGGCGTGGGAGATCGCCCATACGCGGAAGGACCGCAAGCCTGGCGAGCCCAAGTACTACGGCAAGAAGACCGAAGGGAGGAAGAAGGCCTACTCCGAAGCGTATCTGGAGTTACATCCTGACACACCTGACCCCATTGCGGCGCCTCTGGACGACATGGCGGTGGTGAGGATGGGGCCCAAGGAGCACGGTCGGGATGCGGTTCTCGATGCTGTGATCACTCCTAGTATCTCCTACACACAGCTTCGTCGGATCGACCCGAGCCTGAGCCAGCGCACGAGCCAGCCAGTGACTAGTACACAGTCCCTCTTTCAGGAGCAACAATCTATAAGTATTTTCCCTCTTATCTTCATTTCTCACTTCATTTTCCGCATTTAGTAGTTTTATGAGTTCCATCATGTCATACCGTAGGCCTACATGGAGTACACACGCCAGGAGACCATGGCGTGGCATCAGAGGCTTTATGAACACCAAGTGCAGAGGGATAGCCAGATGCAGCAGGCTTTTCAGGATATGGCGGCCGGCAGGTGTCCTCAGTTCCCTACAGCACAATGCCCTCCAGCACAACCAATGCTAATGAGCTTTGAGGAGTTTGTGGCACAGAACGCTGGCCCCTCGCCGGTTAGTTCATCCCCAATCTATTCACCCAAAGCATGTCATGCCTTTCAACACAGTCATAGATCCCGTGCATATGTCTTTTCAACATGCAGGGAACAGGTGGATCTACCGTTGGCGGTGGTCTTCGCAGCACTCCAGAGACACGGAGCCCGACCACTCCGATCCACGGAGGCGGAGGCGGTAGCGCTGCCGCTAGCACTGATGACCTGGACTTTGGCCGTCTTGGCGGTGACGACCTCCACGGTGCTCGATGATGCTTGAGATGTGATGATGATGCTTGAGATGACTTGTGTGTGCTGATGATCATTTAGCTGACTTGTGTGATGATGCTTATGCTTACATTCGTTGATATGCTTATGCTTGTGTGATGATGATCTATTGTTGTCATGATGCTTATGCTTACGTTCGTTGATATGTGCTGCTGATATGTGCTGTTATATATGTGATGTTATCTGAATTGAACTGATTTGAAAACAAACAGAAAAAAGAAAAAAAATTAAAAGCAAACTATGCCGACGGCTAGGCCGTCGGCATAGGGCCAGCGTGAGCTCCCAGTTGCTGACACGTGGGCACCTATGCCGACGGCCCAGCCGTCGGCATAGTTTGAAATTAAGCCGACGGTCCGGCCGTCGGCATAGGTGCCCACGTGTCAGCAACTGGGATCTCTGTTTGAAGTACTATGCCGACGGCCTGGCCGTCGGCTTAATCTCAGACTATGCCGACGGCTGGGCCGTCGGCATAGCCCTGGCCCACGAGCAGCGGACGGTCGGCACGTGGCACATCTATGCCGACGGTCTTGCCGTCGGCACAGTTTTCTACTAAGCCGACGGCTAGGCCGTCGGCATAGGGGTGCCACGTGGAGACAAGTCGTTGGGCAGACTTGACGGCGGCCGCCGTTAGGCGATAACGTTGCCGACGGCCTTGGCCGTCGGCATAGATGTACGGACACCGTCGGGATAGGTCTTATGCCGACGGCCTTTCTATGCCGACGGCCTTTCTGGCTACGCCGACGGATATTTTGCCGACGGCTCTATGCCGACGGGGGCCGTCGGCATAGGCCTGTCCCGACGGCCTTTCAGGGCTATGCCGACGGCCCTGGCCGTCGGCATAGGGTGCGATTCCGGTAGTGGCTTAGAAACTTGCATCTCTCATATTTAACCAAGTAAAAGTAATAATTGTTTTGCTAAATTTACAAAAGTCTCAGTCCATGTGTTGGCCACAGCAATGTGGGACTAGAGGTACACACGACTCCAATCATATATATATATGAACGGACTCAACCTAGATAACCTGCAGTTCAGGTTTCTTGCAGAAACAACATATTGGATCACAAGATACAAGACATCGAGGTGGTTCGTGTATTTAATATGTATATCCTTTTTTTTGCACATGATATAATGTTGCGCACACGAATATTAAAAGCTGCATGGATTTTTCACGCTACTCGGCTTGCATGCCCACGAGCACGGTCCAGTGCGAAACAAATACATTTTGACATGCAAAGAAATGTTGGGGTTCCATGGACCAGAGTGAATATGAAACCGACTCCAAGGCCGTAGGCAGGCTGTCCAGTCGATTATTAAGTCGAGTCAGTCGCCATTTCTGCTTCCAGTTCGAGTGATGCAGCAGTGGCCTCCTTTTCATCATCCGAGAAGTAGTCTTTCCTGCGATGCAAGCGGAAGGAGGTCAACACACAGAAACCATGCCATCTCCTTACTCTTCTGGGACATCGTCATTCAACAAACAAGGTGCTAGTTAGCATCTTTAACGGACCTTATTTTACGAGAAAGCTGGTATAGGCCTGTACCGGACATTGCAACGCTAACGCTGAAAAGGTTCCAGTTTTTCTGGAAAGGAAAAAAATTATAAGCGTCGCAATACAATAGTCATAATTGGGAACGACACCGAGTAACAAATGGAATTAGGATCAAGGTACTTCACAACAGATATATCGCCTTATTGTAATTCAGCGGATATAGTAGCATGTAGAAGGAGGTGGCACAGGAATATCAATCATATATTCGACAAGCAATAGCAGCCCAGTCTAGGGAGCCATCAAGTTAAAACAGTACAATATGAGTAGATTGTTGCAAAAACAATTTCTTAGAAGCAAAAAAATATGTTAAGGGTTAGGATGTACTCCCGTGTTACATACATCCGTATCAAGACAAATCTAAGGCAACTAATTTAGGACGGGGGTAATATTAAGCTATATATAATTCACATTACCTGCAGATTAAAAAAAAGATAGTAGTATCCATGGCTTACCGGTGTGATAACCATGCTGTAGCGTGACCAGATGATTCCAGTGCAAGCAATAACTGCACAGAATATGAAGCATGTGAGCAGCACACGAGAATACATAGCCGCTAAACTAATGACATATTGTCTGTGATGAGGCTGTAGCAAGACTGATTGGATAACTTGAACATACCAACTTGCTGAGGATAGGATATCTTTTCATGAGGCTTAGCAAAGTCGGCAACGTTTGCAATGCTGATCCCCCATTTAAAGGTTGGAGCCCAAAAATGAACTGCAATGAAGATCATATTTTTATTGTCTCAGCCTTTCAACTCTCAAGTGATTTTTATAATTTAGCATGTGCACTGTGCATTGTCCAAGAGATATGCATCACAATTTAGTGCAAAAGAACTGCCAAGGATGGGCCATTATAACTAGTAATGATTCACAACATGAAATAAGGATAAATCAGAGGTATAGACTAGTCTAATGCTAATTCAAACGTCACGTAGCCAAAAATGCTGCTCAGGCATCTCAAGAATAAGCATGAAGTTCACAAAGGCTGAAGATGTGCAACTTCTGAAGGAGAAGGGCTGAAGATGTGCAACTGTCTGAGGGAGAAGATGTAGTCTCTTTGGGGCTTGAGAACATTTGCAGTACTTATCAGTAGGCCACTTTATTATTTTCTAAAATGTAATATCTTAAGGAGTCTAATATTCCATGAGAAAGTCAATATTTTCATATGCAAACTTACCAACAAAAAACTCAGACATGAGTGACAAAGGAGATGAACATTTATCTTTACATCTCTATGATGAACCAGAGACTGCTAATATACTGTTTGGTGCCATGTAACAGCTATATTAGATACGCTTTTGTATGCCAGGAAGTTCCCGTCTCACGGTTCCACTTTTCCCAAATGTTGTAAAAAAATAGAGTGCTATAGCATTTTGATAAGTGTCTCGCTAAATAAATCAATGTACAATGTCTCGCGAATAGCACGCTAATACCATATTTTAAAAGCCATGCTAGTTTGTCAGATCACACTATTTTTTCATTTGCCCAAATAACAAACTTGCTAATGATGCCTCGCCAGCAGTCTGTTGCATAATCAGTGACATGATGGAAAGTGTTATTGTCTGACGCAACTAACACACAACAGTGTTTTGGAGTCCCTACAGGAATGGTAGTGCAACTACAAGAATCAGTGGTGCCCAGGACAACTTACTAGTAAATTAAGCACGGTTGGTGTTTGTGGGAGGGGTCCGAATACTTGTTGGCTCTAGCTTCTGTTGGTCTCCAGACTCCAGTATGACTATTGTTATTTTGATTTTTCTACTCCCTCTGTTCCTAAATATTTGTCTTTTTCTAGAGATTTTAACAAATGACCACATACGAAGCAAAATGAGTAAATCTATATTCTAGATATGTCTATATACATCCGTATGTGATAGTCCATTTGAAATCTCTAAAAAGACAAATATTTAGAAACAGAAAGAGTACATGTTAGTCACAAACAACATTGGCCTGAGCTCATATTCTGAAACCGAAAAACAGAGTAGGCGCACATCATTTTCATATTTAAAACATGCAGACAACATGGCAATCCTAACACACTAACATAGTCTGGAGCTAAAAGTACACACAAAGAAAATACATAAAATCCATCGATAGGAGAACAAAGTCCATGTTGACTTTCCGTACATATTGTATAAAAGGAGCCAAAGCTATCCTTGTGTATAATCAAAGCCGGGAACAAAAAAAGAGAGACGAAGTGTGTAAAAGTAATGCGAGACTGCGAGTACGAGTGGTACTAACTGGTTTTGGGGCCAGCAGGGTGGTTCCAGAAGGCTTGAAGCTTTGAAGAAGCCATTCGATCAAACGGACGCACACTTTTCCTGCACTTTCACGCTACCCTTCTTAGTTGCTCTCTGTCCCTTACACCTACAAGCAGAAAACAGAAAAAACATGTCTATAAGTCCACCGCCATATTCAGGATATCAACAATTTCTTTACAAGCACCCGCATGCGGGCCATACAAAAGAAGAATACAATTGAGTGAGAATATGTTAATAGGATCTTTTGGGTACCATCAGTATAACAAATCGCTGGCACAAGGGGGTCCAGTTCATCCCAAATATATACTATCGAAAAGCAGTACCGCCTACAACTACAAATCCAAGAAAGATATAATTCCTATGAATGGGTACTGGTCACAGCGAATAATACAACCTACACGGAAGCAGCCGGTAACATCCACAGCGCTGACTAGCGACGAAGGGAACCGGGTGCACGTTGCAATTATCAGAAATGGCCTGAATAAATGATGGAGGAGAAATGAAGGTGCTTCTGGATCGGAGGTAGAACATAAGAACCAGTGAATATAGCAATGGATGAACACTGCTGGAGTGGGAAAATACGCAATAGGTTAGCCGTTTGCAACAACGAAGATAATAAACGGAACCCTACAACCAGATTCCTACAGGAAAACAGATGGGAACAGTGGTGAGCTTACATAGACGAAGAAGTTAGAAGCAGCCTTGTAGGAGCTGATACAGCGCTGAGACAAGAATGCAGGAGAGGTAGATAGTAGGAGGAGCTAATGATGTTGTGTTGCAAGAGAATGAGCGGAGGAAGAAATCCCCAAACAGCGGGTCAAGGAGGCAATAATAGAGCTGATCCGTCCAGCTACGTGCCCTTTTTTAAGTTTAGCTGAGTTGGACTTGCTAATAAACTAACCAGTAACCAATGAGGAATACACACATAGCACAGACGTCTTCTTCGTGTGATGCATCAAGACAACTTGTGTAGATTTATTTGCCCTGGAAGAATAGGAAGACTGCCTTGGCTCTGTAGATGAGTAAATAGTGAAAAGGTATCATTTTTGTGCTTTCGTTCCAAAAAAAACTACCACATAACAAAAGAACTTAGCAAACAACTACCACTTTTGGGTAACCGATCACAATTGCTACCACTTTTGGTTGATGATCGTTTCACGCGATGTAAAAGCGTTTATGACTGGCATGGCCCACCCATCAAGGCTGACGTGGCATGATAGTCAACTCAATTACGTTTGACTGCTAAGTTTACTGTTATGACAGATGGAGCCCACACGTCAGCGTCAACACTCTCCCCCCTCAAATTTGTCGGAGAAGTGAAGAACATGGAAAAGGTAAATTATAATTTTCTGAAAAGATGTACAATTGTAGACTTCAAGTTATCGATTGGTTCCTTGACAAAATGTACAAGTAACCAGTAAATTAACAACAATATCGACCGAATCTACAGATTGATAAATGCTCTAGTTTACATCAATAGATCGAATCCTATCCTCCAATATTTAACATTTGCAGTAGACTACGTCGAAACTGGTGGATGGATTCCTTGAAAGGTCGATCAGACTGAAGGAAGATATCCACCACCCTATGTCCCTCTGGATTGCCGTCCAACCACTGGAGCACGAAGAGCAGGAAGTAGAGCAAGAGCGACCGCAGCACTGTCGACGTTGTTGGATACGAGTTCTGCAGGAAGTCCAACGCGAGCGCGATGGGCACAAAGGCGGCACAGCCAAACATGTACGATGTACGTGACTACGCACCTGCACCACTCCGCCGCCTCCGCGGTGTCCGCCATGGATTCCGTTGGCCGTCTTGAAACCTAGATATCCCAACACTGGAAGGTCGGTCGGTCCAGCTGCATGCACCCAATGACATGCGATTATAAATCCAGCGTGTACGTGGAGTTGTGGACACGTAACTTACTTATCAATTATCATCATCCAAGTATAAGGTTGTGGTTAGGTCTCAACCGACTGAGATTTGACAAATCTCAGTCAAGTGACACAACATGCAAAGGAGAAAAAGTAAAAAGTAAAAAGAAAATTTTGCATGATTTTTTTTTGAATGGTCATGGGGTGGGGGATCCCTCCTCATCTGAATATATTGCTCAAAAAGCTGTCAAAGTCAAGAGTCACTCCTTTAGCTTTGGCTGATCCGGTTTATAAGGGAAACGAGATGGAAAACCTGAACAAGTTAGCCCCGTTTATGAGGGAAACCGGACCAAAAACCATACAAGTGTAACGGAAGAAGAACGAAAAAAGACGCCCAAGACAAGGCACGCCTAGCTAACAGACAGAAAGACCATCAGTACGGAAGACACAAGTATATATGGGGTGTTGTTGAGGGATCACAATACCAGAACTTTGCAAGAAGCCTGACGCACCGCACTGGTGTGCATGCCGAGCCCCACAGCACAACTACTCGGGAGCACCCACAACCAACGAATGCAACTAAACATGAACTTTGATTGGGAGCTCTGCCACGGAAATTCGGAATGATTAGCAAGTTGGGGAGACATCTTGCGTCATCAATGGGCAAAGATGAACCGAGACATCACCAAGAGCACAAAGCTCGCCCCAACACATCGGTAACCGTGGGAGGGTCTTGAGCACGGCAACAGGGCGAGACACCTTCATGAGGGGAAAATAGATGACTGCGCTGCGGCGCCAAAAGCACCGCCGCTGAACCCCAAAGAACACCGAACAACCACTGTCGACCCCAAGAGGCCGCACCACCACCACCACCATCATCACCGCAGTGAGCAACAAACAATCATCGACCATACAGCCCCAAAGGTGAAGCCATCAAGAAGGTCCACGATGCCGGTTACGCCGCCATCATCCGTATCTGGAAGATCTGGACTAGGAGTTTCCCCCGCAGTGGCGGAGCTACGGCAAGGCCGAATTGGCCGTGGCCCGCCCAGCCCATACGATTTTCCTGCAATATATACGTATTTTTGGCCAATGAAACACAACCCCTAGAGTAATTTCCTACAGCCGGCCCGCCCAGATTTCTGGGCCAAGCTCCGCCACTGTTCCCCCGGGGTGCCGACGATCAAACTGAATCTACAGATTGCCGTCCTAGCCTCCAATACTCTAGTTCACATCAATAGATCGAATCCTATCCTCCAATATTTAACATTTGCAGTAGACTACGTCGAAACTGGTGGATGGACTCCTTGAAAGGTCGATCAAACTGAAGGAAGATATCCACCACCCTATGTCCCTCTGGATTGCCGTCCAACCGGCAACCACTGGAGCATGAAGAGCAGGAAGTGGAGGAAGAGCGACCGTGGCGCTTTCAACGTTGTCGGCTACGAGTTCTGCAGGAAGTCCAACGCGAGCGCCATGGGCACCAAGGCGGATCAGCCAAACATGTACGATGTACGTGACTACGCACCTGCACCACTCGGCCGGCTCGGCCGCCTCCGCGGTGTCCACCATGGATTTCGTTGGCCGTGTTGAAACCTAGCTATCCCAACACTGGAAGGTCGGTCGGTCCAGCTGCATGCACCCAATGACGTGTGGTTATAAATCCAGCATGTACGTCACCTTACATATCAATTATCACTATCTAAGTACTTCCTCCGGTTCTTTTTACTCTGCATATTAGGTTTGTCCGAAGTCAATCTCATCCAACTTTAACCAAATTTATATAAAAAATTATAGACATTCACATAACAACACCAATATCATTAGATTCATCTTGAAATATATTTTCATATTATATTTATTAGATATTATAGATGTTAATAATTTCTAATATAAATTTAATCAAACTTAGCAAAGTTTGACTTTCGGCAAATCCAATGTGCAAAGTAAAAAGGACCGGAGGGAGTATAAGGTTTCAGTCAATTGACATTTAATCAAGTCTTAGTCAAATGACACAATATTCCACAAATCTTAATGTAAGATATCGCGGAGATAGCATCGACTGAGAAAGTCTCAGTCAGACTGAGATTTAAGACTGTAAGTATAAATCTAGTTAGAGTCGTCAATACGTACGACACGGTCTAAAGTGTCGATCGATGGCCGATGTCATCCAGCTGAATAATCCCAGCGAGGACGACGACGCCATTTAGGTGGTCGCGGCGAAGCCGAACGAGTGCAGCCGGCTTGTGTTCATCTGCATGGTGGGTTCCTTTTTCCTCGCGCTCGGCCTCTTCTACTGGCTCGCCGACAATCTGTTCCACGGCTACATGATATCTCGTCATACTTTGGTGGGCATGCTGCTAGATTTTCCTGCGTTCTTCACCATGGTCCCCGCCATGTTATGGATGGGCGTTGCCTTCGTAGCTCTCGTGGTCTAGTCTCGAGTGGTGCGCCGGCAACCCGGAGGGGCAACGGCGGGTGGATGTATCACGAGCCGAACGAGTGCGGCAGGCTTGTGTTCATCTGCGTGGTGGGTTTCTCCTTCCTCGCGCTCGGCGTCTTCTCCCGGCTCGCCGACTATCTATTCCAACGCTACGTGGTATCTCATCATACAGTGGTGGGCGGGTTGCTGGACTTCCCCGCGTTCTTCAGCGTCGTCCCGGCCATGTTCTGGCTCGGAGCCGTCTTTGTAGCTCTAGTGGTCGAGTGGTGCGCCGGCAATCCGGAGGGATGACGAGTGGTGGACGTGCTGATCCAGTCCGATGGATGGCTGTATCACGAGACCATCGATCAAGTTCTGCAACGTGTTTTTTTCAATGAAGGGTGGTAATACGTTGATATTAAGTTCTATGTCCTTGGTTGGTTCCGGACTGATATTTTATTCATCGGAATTGCTAAATCACATCTATATGAAATTTAGTGATGGCTCGCCGTTAAATTTATTTGTGCTCTAAATCTCGTCTAAGTTCCAGTCCGTCCAATTTATTTGTGCTTTAAATCTCGCGCAACGTTTGATCGTCGGTTTGTTTGTCGGCGCGTTGTCGCTTGCGTTGCTTTGTTGGCTCGTTTCATTCTTTTTGGGAGTGTCTATAGCACTTGACTGTTTTTCAATTCGGTAACATTCACATTTCCTGACAAATAAACAAAGGACACTTGTATGCTAA